GACTATATATATATATATATATTATAAAAGCCCGTAGACAATATTATTTAATGTTATATGTGGAGTACAAAAAAACGGGATTTAAGAATCCTCTTTCTGGTATATTGCACAAAAAATCCCCCCAGAAAGGGATACATGTAAACCCAAAAAGGAAAAATAAGGTCAGAAATCTTATGAAGAAAAATTTGAAAATAATCGAGGAAAAAGTAGACCCAACAATTATGTGTCCAACAGTCCAGGTCTTCAGTCATAACAATGACAAATCCACCAATATATACTAAACAATCATTAATATAACCTCCAAAATGCTAGGTGATGACATGAATAACACTACGACAACACGGAAATAACACCGACAGACAGTGCACTGGGAGGAGAGGGAATAAACCCGTGAATACCAACACAAAAATGCAGGTTATATATATATATATATATATATAATTACGAGTATGAGATCTGAAATAAACTATCAAATAACTTAAAATCATTTCGCAATCTTACCTTTTTATATTGTTTTCGAATAAATTTTAGTATTGCCTTGCTATGTATAAATCTCACACTATGTGATCATAATTAGTGATCACTCATCATCAAGACAACGACCACGGCAACATTGGCCAAATCAATTATTATATTTACTAAATAACAACATAATACAAACTATAATAATTGCTTGATTTGTTAGTAAAACATAAGATTGCATATGAACTTGGTACCTTATATTGCATGATGTAAGGTCGACTTAATTAAGAAATTCAGTAAATGATATATAATGTCGTCAAAAACATCGCTATTAATGTGGAAGCAACAATATTTTTTCACAAAGTTATTCAATAAAATAATTGGTCCTTATTAAATTATATTTTGCCATTTTTAAAGTCTAGTTTGACAGGAGCTGTTATATATACACACCTTACTAAGAAGCATATGCAGGAGAAAGCTTTAGCCAAAGCATTTTCCCAACGAAGCAAATATGTCTATATCAAAGTAAACCTCGGTCAGATTTATATATGGCAAGAATAATGTACATTTGTGATTTATTTAATGTACTTTTAAGATCAATCAAAGTTGAAATATTTTCAAGTAGTCTTGACCACGTTACTTAACTTCTTGATAAAGTTGACTACATTTTGATTTCTCTCCATTCTCCCATTTTAACCCAAAATCCTAATCATGTACCTCAGCCACTCTATGTGTGTGCATGATTAGCATTCGGTGATCAATGATCCCAATGAACACGACAATCGACTGTTGCTCCTGATGCATGCATGACAAGCTAAGATACTTAGTTTACCTCAACTCTCTATTATTGCATGAATATCATCTTTTGATTATCTTTTCTCAAAAATCAATGCCTATCAATTATTATTTGACCTCATCATTTGTTTGTTATTGATCGATCATCCTTTTCACTATTCAACACTTCTCCAATATTCTCGGGTACATTCATGCATAATTCAACTTGTGTTATGTACTTTGTAATATCATATTTCTTTAAATGCAGGTAGGAGTAGGCATTCATAATATTCTTCAACAATTTATTGGATCATTCATCATGGTGAGGCCTTTTTTTTTTTTCTTTCCAATTTCTTAGTGGAAATTGGAATCATTTATTATCAATTCTTCTTTTTATTAGTGCATAATCTTCATGTAAGACTATGCAAAAATTATCTTTATATCACATAATTTTTTTTTGCACAAAACAAATATCATAAAATATAATTTCTCAGTATGATACCATCGACACAGCGATTAAAAATCCATAGGCTTGAGATTTATTTCACTTCTATGCTATTAGGTGTATGGAAAGAGAAGCTATCAATAATTCTTTGGTAGCAAATGGTATATTTTCTTAATGGAGGATATGTTATTGAATGTATCTTAAATTCTGTTGTGTGAGAATCTTAAGGCAAGTGTTGCCGACTTGGGGTATGTAAGTTTGATGTCGTAGGCTTTTCAGCACACACAATTATCTGTATGATCTCTCTTCTTGGATAGGGGAGATTTTTTTAAGTGCATCATATTATGACATACTCCTACAATGCCCTTTTATTTCTAGGTGATGGTAGTTCTGAATACTTTGTTGATTACTTTTACAATCTAGTGAATATGATAGTCGATGATCGTTTAGTTTCATCGCTTGTAATGTGAATTGAATTATTAGATAGAAATGAGACACTTGCTAATTCTTCTTTCTTTTATAAGTAATATATAAAAATTTATTAGATGTGATACATAGGAATGGTATTTTATGCTAATATCAGAGATATTTTATGTCATTATTTTGCATGTGACAATTTATGATTATAATTTACAGATTAAGCTTAGCTTGACATAACAAAATTATGTTGATTCACCCAACTTTTAAGGTTATCTTGGTATATGATGAGTTCATTAATTCCTATAATTATAAGCATGTTTCTTTAGTCGTAATGTAAAAGAATTACATGATAGAACTTTAGTTTGTGGTTATGCATTATGCTCATCACTAGATCTTTTTACATATGTTATTTTATATGGGGTAATATTGGGTAGTAAGGCTATCGACTAAGTTAGTCTTATTAATTATAAGATTATATTATGCCATGATTTGATATTCCTATTATACACACTGACATGAAATGCGTATATGCTAAGCTGCTATTATAACAAATTCTCTAACAAATGTACTGGATTTATATATATGTTAGTTGAAATGAGTGTTTAATGTAATAATAATAATAATAATAATAATAAATAAAAATAATAATAATAACAAATTGATTTTTTTTCCATAAAGTTTGATGTTGAGTAGATTATTCTAGTTGGTCATATGGTGTGGGAGATTTTTTTTTGGTCACAAGTTACTATTTTCTTCCGTAAAATGAGGGTTACACTCACCTTTCATATATAAAAAAAGTAATTATAAAAGTGAGGAGCTACAAAGGTTAAAATAAGATCAAGAGCATGCCCAACAAAAGAGAAGAAAATTACACAATAAAAAAGATGAAAATAATAGGGAACTAAAATTAAAAAGCTAAAAAGAAGAGCCAAGAAAAACAACAATATCAAGAATATTACTGTAGGAAGCTAATTGGATGAGTGTGCAGAGCATCTCCTTTAGGAATCAACATAGAATTTGTTCAAGAAATCTAACTCAACAACAAGAGGGAAACGATTCAAAAAGTATATATTCAAAGAAAACGAAACAGATAACAAGTCATCAAATAACTGATTGAGCTCTTTAAAGGATTGTAGGTATCATCACAACTTTTTCAGGGCATCCAAAAAAGCATATATGCTTCATGTATTCCATCTAAGATCAATGCAGGAAATTTGGATGAATCCCCAAAATATGAATAATTTCATCATGAACCACAATCAATATTGTAAAGACTCCACCTAGAATTAGTGAGTAAGCAAAAGACACCCTCATCAAACCATCCTAAGATAGAAGGCAAATCTAAGGAGAGCAAAAATGAATATAGGGGACTATGATGCATACTGCACACAAGCATGAGATGTGACAAGCACTTGATAAATTAAAAGAAAATGAATATTATTATATTTTGATCCACTTATTCAAATTACATAAAATATATGCTTAATAAAATAGGTTTTAATATTTTCTAACCTATAAAAATCTTTAGCTATTAAATAAAGTTACATGTATAAACATTTCTGTCATTTCAATTGACAACAAAAGGAAAAAAAAAAGTAATAAAGCAATAATTAAATGAGCATATTTATATGATTAAAAATGGTGAGAGAAAAAAAAATGAAAGATATTGACGAGTAATATAATCATAAAATTTTTTTGTTTAATCATAATTAAACATTTAATTAATATACACATTAATAGATGCCAACACTAGAAAACAAAAAAATAGTGGGATTTAGTAGAAGCGGAACTGGTTAAGAAACCGGGATCAGAATGGTAAAGCGGAGAAGCAAAGCGGTAGTTTTTTTTTCATTCCCAGAAGCTCTGGGGATCGCCAAAAGCGATCTCCGGAGCTGAGTAGTAAAAAATAAAAATTTGTGTGAATTTTTGGTGTCCACACTCTCTGTAGCTTTCCCTTATCTTCCTCCCTCCCCTCATTCGCCATGGATTTCGACGACCATGATGAAGCCGAGGAGGAGATGGGACTCTCCAACTACGAACCCGGCCTCGGTAATTCTGGCCGCGAAAAGCCAACCGCTACCGCCGCCGCCA